AATAAAACTGACGTTAGTCTTTATTCATCCTAAAATGACGCGTGACAATTTTATTGACAACGCACTACCTACTCGTATGTTTGATTTCAAAGCCTTCTTTGCGTCAGGCTGATAAAATTTAAGAAAGGTGAGGAAAAGCAAAAATGTTCCAAAATTTAGTTGTCAGCAGTTTTAGATTTTATCTAACAATTAATTAAATAGTAATCAATATAATTAAGCCGTAAAAATAATTCCATACATCATAAAAAATGTTAATTTCATATTTACAATTAAAAAAAATTAAATAAAAGAATTTCGGTAAATTGGCATTATATTTGCAAAATAATTGCTTGTTCCAATAGGGCTCGTACATAACTGGAACATTTGGCCAAAATGAGCTCTAATATTAAAGATTTTACTAGCCTATTTTGTGCCATATAAAAATCGTAGCACTGTAAATACTTAACAACGGAAATAGACTAAAATTAAAATAAATTTACACAGAAACCTGCCAAACGTAATAAAAACGTGTCTCGCGAAATATTTGCAATTGTTTTTTTTTTAAGGCAATGGCTTCACAAGCATTGGAAAAAAGTTGGCAAGTGCCTGGCATGATTATCACACCACTTTCGGGAAGGTCAGTTCTGTGACGTAATTAAGATTAGTTCAGTAGTTGTTTAATTTAAATTTAAATCATCATGCGATCAGATAACCGTGAAGGTAAGGCAGTTGAAACGCGAAAAATTGATAAAACCGAGAAGTGCAAAGGAAGTTCAACACCACAGAGCAAAATGCTTAGCTGAATTGTACAGAAAATTATACAGTTTGAGTCAAAACGTTCTTTTCATACATTGTTGAATTTTTAAATTGTTTCTTAAGCTGATTAAATTAATTACTTACGTTTTTTTTTTTAATTTTTTGGAAATAAAAAATAATACTCAAGGTAAAGTATTAACTTTAAACATGATAATTCTTATAGGGATTTAATTACGTAAAAAGATGAGTAAATGTTTTAAAATAAGACTATAGTCATAGAACTTGTTCTATATATACTTTCAGATACTGAAATTGTGTTAAGTAAATTTTGTTCCGATGTATGTATTAATAAGAAAACAAAGAACAAACCAAAAAAATATTTTATAGGCCTTAGTTCATATCCAGTCGTTAGAGATTACAATGAATCTCTAAAAATCATACGAAAAAACTGAATTTTGTTAAGAATGTTAATTGTGTGATCCCAAAAAAGATGCAAAAAAAGTTTGCCACTCCTACCCCTGGCTTCCGTAGGGGGAAGACATTTTTGAAGTTTTCCGACGGAAAACATCAAATTACCAAGACTCTGTACACCGTAGAAAAAATGTTTCAAACAAGAAAAGTAGTTGTGACCATTTTGAATAAAATTGTTTGTAGAATAAATGTCGGTAGAATAAACCATTCCCTCGGAAACAACGCTTGGAGAGGCCGGCGATCTTGACTGTCAGTTACGCGCGTGAAATAATTTTTTAAATAAAATTTGTATCAGCTAGACGGTAAAAATTCGATATCTATTGATCAAAGTGTCCTATCCACAAAAATAAAAATATGTTTTGGTGAAGAGTGTACTTTTTTAACTCTTTTTTTTTTCATTTTGTCGAAAATGACGTCAGTTTATATTTCTATAAAGCTGTTAAATAAATAAACGTTGCGCGATATTTGTTATTTTTTATGATTCTCATGAAATCAATAATATTTTTCACTTTCACTGACCGGTCATTATGAAGTTTTGATTGTTAAAGCTTTTTCTTCAAAACCTTAAATATGAAATTTCGATTTTGATTTTTGACAACGAGCTTATATTGGCCTATGAAGCATTTGCAATTTGCCTAAAAACGCTGAATTTAAACTTTCACTTGTAACGTGAAAGTTTTAAGTCAGCGGGTTTTAGGCAGACAAATTCCAAATGCCTCATATTTGTTGTCAAATCTCAAAATCGAAATTTACAATTTTACAAGTTTTACAGATAAGGTTGTAACAATGGAAATTTCACAGCGACCGATTAAAGGAAGTGATAAATTTTATGGATCGCATGAGAATCGTAAAAAATGGCAAAATCGCGCAACATTTAGGTATTTATGTAACAGCTTTGTAGACACGGACTTCATTTGCAGCCAAATGCAAAAATTGCATAGATAGCTGAACTCTTCATCTTTAAAATCCAATTTAATGTTTGTTGATAGGACACTGATCAAAAGATATCGAATTCTTACCATTGAGTTGATACAACTTGTATTTATACATTTTTTAAAAAAAAATGATTTTGCGTGTGTAACTGACATTTGAAGTCGCCGGTCGCTTCAAAAAGGTTCATTCGTCTACAAGGGTAGTTTTAGGGGAAGCCTGGGGGTAGGAGCGACAAGTTTTTTTTGACATCTGCCTACATTCAAGAATTGTATACTTTAAGATATTTGGATATGTATGAGCTCAAAATATCCCACACTTTAATTGCATTGGTGGCGTGTTTGGCCAAATGGAGCTAGACAGTCTTTTCAAGTCATAATATTCAAAATAAACCTTCTCCAGCATAACAAATATACTGAGTTGATGACATTTAATGATCTCCATGATTGATTGTTGGAATACCTAGTGTGATGTATTTCAGAGGAACAGGTTAGAAAATTCACTTAAAAGAAAAAAGAAGGAAAGTATACACAGTTTGCATTCAAGAGATGAAATATAAATGGTGCAAAAACTACATGAAGGATACAAATTCTGGTATTCTCAGTTCCTTGACTGTTCTTAACAACTATAAGATATACTTACATAGATATAAGAACTGCAATATAATAGTGAGACTGTGAGCCAAGAACAAATTGTTGCTTGGGCTGGTCATTGAAGTAAGAAGTGATATGAAACCAAAATATTGGAGAGAACCACAAAAAAACAAATGGTTGATGATAAAAGATGGGATATATTATTTATTTTAACACAAAAATTTGGATAAAGACATTCTTCCAACAATTAAGTCGACCAATAATGATGCAAGCATAATAATTGTCAAGATCTGATGTTGAAAGTAATACATATTGTGTAAACTAACAAGCAGAAAATATGGATATGAAAGCAAAAACATGTCCTGAAACTGTTTTCTTGTGGCAGGTCTAAAATAAATACTATGATTATATGAGATTAGGCCACAATTACGTAATTGTAATGAAAATTACATTTTTAAACGCTGTTTGATGATTAAATTCCCACTCCTGAAATCATTTATAAAGTTTTTTATTTCAAAAAATAGTGAGATGTGAACTTTTGATTAAAAAAACACACCTCAGCATTTTTTGAAATAATCTTTTTTTAAAAACAAGTTTGGAAGTGGAAATCGAATTTAAGTGTGGAAGTGGAATTTAAGTGTGGAAGTGGAAATCGATAAAAATGTAATTTTCATTACAATCAATTGTGGTTTAATCCCATATAGACATACTATTTAACAAAAACATGTTATGTTTAAGTAAGAGTTGCGATACCAAAATGATTTTATCACTTGTAGTTTTAATTATTAAATAAATGATTAATAATGCTTTAATTATCACAGTCAAGAAAGGACTTTGTAGGTGCTATAGGGAGTCACTTTTTATTATTTTTGATTATTTGCAGTTATGAAACTATTTTTTTGAAGAATGTTTCACACTGAATATTATACATTTTGTTAATAAACCACAATGATTGGAATTAAAATTAAATGTTTTGGTTTTGATTTCCAATCTGAAAATCATTTGCAAAAACTAAAATTAAATTGATATACTTAGCTATGACATATGGCTATTATATGACCTCTTCTTTATCTCCATTATTATTATTATATAATACAAATCTGGCAAAATTTGGAACAAATATTGTTTACTAACAAGTTTGAAAACTCACTATAGGTAACAAAGTTCAAAGTATTTGTTTTTATAATAAATGTACATTTATTAAGACAAATAACAATAAACATCCTTGAGTAAAGACTGTTAGCTACCTTTACACACACACAAAGTAAGTCACAGTTTTGGGGAACATGAGATTCCCAAGTAAGATATTCTCATGTGGGAAGTTCAAAGTGGTCACACCTTGTGGAGATGGCACCTCCCTGGCCACCAAAGCTACCATCATGACATCCCTCCCCAATGGCTTTGATCTTGAATGCCCTGGGAAATGAAGCATTTGAGAGACCTTTCTGTAGTGATGCCACTTTAGTAGGGCATTATGCACCTTTTTCTATAAAGCTTTAGCAGATACCAGCTATGCAAACAAATCAAACCATTTTACACAAAGGGCACATATATTTTTTAAACAAGAAGTGAATTTTTATTAGTACTAACAGGGAAGAATAGTAAAACAACATATTTTGCAGAAGAATACTCCTGGTAGAACCCATAGCAATTTTGATATTGCCATTCTTAGAAATAAAGTACAAAGATATTGAATAAATTATATTGTCTATGGTCAGGTTTGTTTTTGAAAACAATTCATTGTGTAAATCTATCTAAATATGTCTGTATCTATATTATGTCAATATACACAGATTTTCACATTTCACTTGGAAATTCCTCTGGGAACAGTCATTATGACAATTTATGATTTCAAAAATTTCTGTTCAACAGAAACATTTTTCTGAACACAAACTGATTACTGATAAGGAATGTCGATTGACTGAATTAAAATGATACTGAAATTTTTTTGAATCTTATTCATTAAGAGACCAAATTTAAAGCAAAAAGTTTTAAAGTAAATTATAAAATATAATGACCTACAAAATTGGATATATTATCCAAACATTTTTTAAGCAATTTTTACTTTACAAATAGACAGTAAAAATAAAAAATATTGAGTTGTTTCAGTTAATTTTGTAATAAAATTTTCATATTTGAAGAAAAGCAACTTAAACTACTTTTTCAACTTTGCAAACTTTTAAATTTGGCGTAAAATTAAAATATGTTTGACGAGAGTAAAGATAAGAAGTAAAAGGTATCAACGTGGACAGAACAATTTACAAAACTCACCTGCTATAGTGAATCTATCCATATAGTTGATCAAGTTGACAAAACACAAAATACCAACAACAACCCACTCGCGGAAAGTAACATTTCGCATTCCTCTTGGATTTTCATTTTCTTCGGTGACAAGTTCTTGTTGAGAATTATTCTGAGCTGGATCCATTTTAAATGGTTTCATAACAACTTTCTCTAATTTTTCGGACGGCATGATACCCGGTAAGCACTAACTAACCTAATTTCAAGACAGTTTGAAAACGAATGAGATTCAAGCCGGTTATCCATGTTGGCGGGTCTGTTTAACAACCAATGGGCATGCGTCGAAAATCACCTGATGATTACGAGTTTACCGAAATTCTCTTATCTATCAGGCTTCACTGTCACCGTCACCTTTCATAAGTTTCTTAGGAATGTAAATTTCTAGAAACAAAATAAAGCAGCCTTATTGGTTATGAATAAATAGAATCATAATACCTTACCTTGCGAACTATATTTCTATCTTAGACAAGACAATCGTCAACAACTAAAACTGACCTGACACTTCTTAAAAGTCTGCAAAATTTACTATTTAATGTCAAACAAATAAAATGATGACGAAGTTGGTTAAGTGAGAGGTGAGGTATGCAATACAATAACAAACATGTCTGCAGAATATATTCTGTCTAAAGTGCCACAACCGGGAGACCAGCTTGGTTATAAAGATTTGTATTAAACGACCTTCACTACAACAAATTTTAAGAGACACTGTATTAACTTTCCTAACTTTGGCAATATCCGTTTGTTATCGGCAAAAATCTAAATATAATTAATGAGTTAAAAATGTTTATGCATGATGACTGGACATTTAGATATATTCCGTTCAACTGACTTGACTTGTCATCTAGTGGAAGAAATATTAACTAATATATTTAATGTATCCAGACTACAGGTTTCTGTTTAGTTTTATTTTTTTTTTAATAATCAGGAAACCTATATCTTAGCCAACTTTAAAATTACTATTATAGTGAGTTGAACCCATAGATGCAATAATAATAAACTAGATGTAGAACTGCAATTTTTTTCGTGAAGCCGATTTTTTAAAGCTTAGTGCGCATCTTGTCCGCTAGATGAACAATGAACACAAATAAGGGGGAAAAATATGGTAAAATGTAAACATTATTTAAAATCTCACTTGTTTACCGTGATCATGGACGTATTATAATGTTTATACGTCCATGGCCGTGATGGTTTTAAGTAAGATATCCTGCCCAAAAATAATCATTTTTACTTATATTATTGTATTTTTAAACAATAATAATTATATCTTCCTCCCCCATTGCCAATTGTATTGTAGGGAATATTCTAAATAACAATTGAAATGGGGGAAATGGGAAATGTAGTGGTAAATAAAATGGAAAATTAGGAAAAGAATATTCTTTGAAGATAATGAAATAGAAATTGTGATAGATCTGCTTCCGGAAGAGTTGAACATTTTGTGTTTGTAGAAGATGGGAAATTAAAGGATTGTACCTAATCTTCTATATATGTTTGGATTTATTATAAAAAAAATATTCCCAAACTGAAGTGTTTAGATCGTATCTATTAAATGTTTATTTAAACCACAATCCAATCATGCTTAACCCCTAGTAACACACGACGTCCTATGGACGTCCAATATACTTCCAGTTTTGGTCCGGACGTCCCTGGACGTAAAATGGACGTACTATGGACGTACGAAGTGGGACGTACTTTGGGTGGACTAAATATGGACGTTCTCTGGACGTCCGTACTCGGACGTTCCAAGGACGTCCATACTCGGACGTCCACTGGACGTCCCAACTCGGACGTTTTCTGGACATCTGACATTTACCAATTATTTTTAATAAAATAAAAAATTACCCTTTGTTGATGAGTTTAGTAGTTTACCAAGTTTAAAAAATAATGTTTATTTAATGATTATCACAAAAGACACTTTTCGGGTTATAGAAACACAGAAAAAGCCTTGTTGTTGACAACTGATGACTTCAAAAATGTTTCGTGTGTGAATGCTAAGAATAGTCAACGACATTGTTCTGTCAGTTGTAAGCAACCTTTCTTCATGCAATAATTTGTCTTTATGTACTGAAGTAGAAGACTGCAGTTGTCTAAGCATCGAGCTCATTGAGATGATTAGCCATGAATACCTTTAGGGTTAAATTCTATGCACTGGGAATCCAGAAGACTGAAAAAGTAAATGCAACTTAAAAAAGGCATGATCTAACTAAGTGTGTCTTATTTAGTTATTCTTAAACTTTGTGTAACAAACCTAAATTAATTCATTAATATACCTATATTATTTAAATATATATAATACAAATAATAAATATCCAAATTCAACAATAAACATTTTTTTCTCATTTTTCTTACAGTTTATTTGCTATATAAAACGTAAAGGGTTAAACCCGCTTGATACAGCTACCTGTTTTTATATTTGTTTTGGCATAAAACAATCGTTTTTGACTTTTTTTTTAACAGGACCTTTTAAATTTTCTTGTAGGCAGCCAAGTGTAATTTTTAAATTCTTGCCCCCTTTTATTTTGTTTCCTCCGAAAAATAGCGCCCTCTAGCCAGTTAAACCAAGCAATATGCGGTGGTTGATCTCACAGAGCCACAGAGTTCTATTATATTGGGTACCTTAAGGTCAAGACAGAATTGGATCCGGCTAGAGGGCCCTATTTGTCGGCGGAAGAAAGAAATATGTGGGCAAGAATTTGAAAATTACATTTGATTGCATATTATGAAAACTTTAAAAGATCTCGTTTGTGTTAGCCCTATTTTAGTATTTTTATCATGGAATGTTGAAGTTTAGGACTTCCGTTATCAACTTAAAACATGTAAGCAAGCAAAACGATTGTTTTATGCCAAAAATTTTGTTTAGTTTAACCACAGAAGACTCCATCCAACAAGAAGCGAAAGCTTTGTCGGCTGGTCGGTACCTTTGATGTTCGTAGGACAGAAATTTCGGAGTGACAATGACAGTTAAACTACTTAGTACACTAAAAAAAGTAATGAGGAAGTCATTCAAAACTGTAGTTAAATTATAGTTACACTGAGAAACGAAGAAATCAGTAAAACTAATGATTTTTAAGTAGATCTGATTGTATAAATTGTATTTTTCTTAAGTGTATCTATTTAACTAAAATATATATAAATGTTCAAATAACTTTTATTGTAACGCGTGTAAATTTCAAATTAAATTTATTTACCTGCTACGATCTCTCGATATTAAAGAGAGACTTACCTATTTACTCACCAGATTTAGAAGGATACCCACAACCAACACAATAAAATCCTCCTTTTCGTGCAGTCATCACAATTAGTTTATTACAAATATGTATTATATCAGTATTATTTTTTTTACTAATAAACAACACACACGAAACAACACTTCTCAATACGTAAACAAATAACAAAATTCAGTTTTTATAGGTTGACAGATAAACTATTTAGAACATGGCAGATTGTCACAGAAATGGACCGCAGGAGTGTGACGTCACGACTGTCACATTGACATTATTGCCACAGAATAATAAACAAACAGAATGCCCACTCTCCACGGAAAATTAAATACGCGCATCTCCTTCGCGCAGACGTTCCGCCATGTTTTACGAGGATTTTAAAGGGAACCAGTGATGTTTATGTGGTGTGCATGAAAAAAAAAACCAGGTTTATTTGACTTACGGCAATCATAGACATACTATACAATTATATTAACAGTTTTAAATATAATAACATAAATATAATATAATTAAACATAAATGTAAACAATTGCATAACCTCACAAATCATATGTTTGTGTCCTCCTAAAACATGGCGCGCGTGCTGAAAAATTTCAAAGGCGCATCTGAGAGTGGCCCTTCTAATTGTTTATTATTCTGTGTTATTGTTTTCCAGACAAAAGTTGAAATGTCAAATCTCAAGACTTTTTAATTTCTATAAAGTTAACATTTTGCTTCCTCTGCTGCTTTTTCTTGTAAGCATAGTGTTTTTTACGATAATACTATCATAATTCAGAGTTTTATTTCTATGAAATATAGTTTAAATAAAGAAATTGTAACCTTACTTTATTGATACATGCATTTTATTGCTATTAACATAAAACAATGTGCTTTATTATTAACACAACCTTGTAAAATTGTTGTAGTAACTATTAGAATACGTAAATATTGCAATAAGCGATTCTATAAAATAAATGAAAAAATAACGAAAAATACAAATTATCCACACTAAACCAGGTTTGTTTGGAAAGTGAAACTGACGTATGTCAATAAAATCTACGTCATCACTCCTGTGGTCCATTTGGATTGCGAAAAAGCCGATAATTTGTTTCGCTGTATGTATTCTGTGGTTTAACACATGATACTATGACCACAGAATAATAAACAATCAGAAGGGACACTCTCAGATGCCGCCTTTGAAGTTTTTCAGCACGCGCGCCATGTTTGAGGAGGACACAGACATATGATTTGTGTGGTTATGTAATTGTTTATATTTATGTTTAATTATATTATATTTATGTTATTATATTTAACAATGTTAATATAATTGTATAGTATGTCTATGATTGCCGTAAGTCAAATAAACCTAGTTAATTTTTCCATGCACACCACATAATTTCTTTAAAATCCTCCTAAAACATGGCGGAACGTCTGCGCGGAGGAGATGCGCGTACTTAATTTTCCGTGGAGAGTGGGTATTCTGTATGTTTATTATTCTGTGCTATGACTATAAGATAAGATATTGCGCATGTTTTTGTGACGTCATTGGAGACTTGCACGTTCGAAATGTCAGTTTTTGTATATATCAATAAATAATCTTTAATAAATAGTTTGGAGATATCCTTATGTGTACGATTATTGTAATTATTAAACCTCTTAACTTATTTTCGTCTAGTAATTTCATCACAGAATGCACACAAATCTCATTTAACTTTAACAAGAATTCAAATTCTAGTCTCCAATGACGGCATGCGCGAACCCGACCGATTTTGAGCTACGGGAAGATCCTATCTTGTTATTCATAGTATCATGGTTTAACATTACTATACATTGCGTTATAAACATTCATAGATGAAAGTGGGAGTGTGCTATTATCATCGAGCAAAAAGATAAAAGAGGGAATGTAAAGGTAGTGGCACAGAATAATAAACAATCAGAAGGGCCACTCTCAGATGCCGCCTTTGAAGTTTTTCAG